TTAAAGCAAGCAAAATAAATGCACTCACACGGGAAATGAATACATTCGTGTACAACATTCACATCAAATTAAATAAAAGTTGAACAGAAACAGCAATCTTTGGCCTTAGTTTTCCTCTTTTTATTACGTCTTACCTACATTTCGTCTCAGGAATCTTTTTGAAGGAAGTGGGAAATGAGGAGAACTGATATGCGCTCTCGTGCTGCGACACGTTAGCTGCTTTCCTCTCCCCCGCAAAAAAACTGGCCATCTAATCAAAAAAAAATTTTTTTTAATAGAAGAAACACAGAAACTGCACTTCTCTTAATGCGTTTCAGGTCCAAGAAACTTCAGAGAAAGCTGTTGTACCTTCTCCCAATATGCATCAGTTCTCCTCTGACTGTGGCACTGTCATGCAAACTTGTGAGTAGTCTGGCACTGCGGAGCGTGCTATGGAAGTACAGGTGCACCGACATATCAGGTTTCCGGATTCAAAGTCTCTTCCCCACAGTGATGGATGCTACATTCATGCACAAAAATAAAAATTATGATTGGGAAAAGTTTTGCAGGAGAGATCTTTGGAAATCCTACGCGTGCCATTCCATAATCGATAAGCCGACCCGAGCACCAACAAGACGCCTCAAGGAGAAAGAGGCCGGCTGCCAATGAATCACTTGAAAAACATAATAACGATGAAGTGCTGAGCAGGGTAAGGACGATGGATTCGAGCTTTGCATCCGAATTATTCGCAAAATTATACATGCACGCACATCTCGGGCATGATTCATCGCAGTGCTTCGCGTTGACTTCACCAAATTTCCAAGCTGGAAAGAAACCAACTTTTCTGCAGTCTCTCATTGTCCTAAAATATCAACGAAAACAACTGCTGCATAGTTTCTGCTACGCTTTATCATTTCCTACAAGTGTTGCTTGATCGTGCATTGATACAGCCGCACATATCCAGACATTTTTATCTGACAGCCCAGCAAATACACAACATCCTGGGCATTTTTTTGCAAATTTTTTATAAAAGGCGCTCAAGAAGGAGAATATTGAAGCTGCTCGAATAGGGTGCTAATATGAGCGACAAACGGGGAACTCATTTAGCGGCGAACACAGTAAAATTTGCTCAGGCAAGAGAATGATGCCATACAGTGCA